GAAAAAATTAAATCAAAAATTTAAACAAAATAAAAAAAAAAAAGGGAATTTCAAAATAATTAAAAAAAAAAGAAAATATGACAACATCCGGGCAAGCATCGATCTAATCACCTTCTGGTTATCAGACTACCATGCTATACACCAGACTACGCGATACCTTGAATTTGCCTTTATAATACTTTATTTTATTCATATTTCGTACATTTTCCATCATATTTTACATTATATATATACGAGTATAGCTACTTTTCAGGTGCCAAAAAGTACGGGTACTTCTAGAAGGGCTAGAGAAATGGGACAAAAGGCATTAAACAGGTTTTTGCGGGTAGGATCCCAGAAAAAGTCTGACACTAGAACATTTTTAGTCCCAAAATAACTCCTATATTAAGATTTTCTGTAAAAATTTTTGGATATCAAAAGCGCGTTTTTCTTTTGCACTTTAATGTAAAATTTTTTACGTCTCAGTGAAAGTGAAACGTCGCAAAGCGAGGTATTAGTGTACATTCAAAATCATATATGTAAATATGTAATTAATTCTTAAAAATTATAGTAAAAATTGGTTTCCGTATTGCTCGAACGCTGGGTTTAGGAGTAGAAATACCCAAAACTCAGGCGCGTCTGATCCAGATTGAACGGCTTCTTGATCTACATCTGATCCCAAAGGGACTGCAGGGGAAGAGACCATGGCTAGATTAGTACCTATATAAATTAAAAACAAATATGAAATGTCCAATAATGCGATAGTGATATCTACCAAAGTGTCGGCAGAGGCCATGGCTGTCGGCAAGAGCTTGGCTAAATTTTCAAGATGTTCAGAGAAGTTACCAGTGTTAAAAAAATATCACTTAGCGAAATAAATGACCCTATGGGTTAAGTTAGAAGAAAACCATGGAGAACCTGTGTAAGGAGAGGTCTGAAAACTTAAGGCAGTTTCAAGTGGGACCGAGAAAGACAAAATATGTGTGACCGTGTGTGAAACACGGACTGAGATTATAGTAAGATTATCTGAATATAGACGATTAACTAAAGCTGTTAATCAAGCCAATGGGTCCATCCCGCAATGCCAGAGATGCTAGAGGTTCGGGCATACACAAAGATTTTTCCAAAAAGGGACTAAATGTGTTAAATCATATGACGCAGAGTTTAAAAAGAGAGATAATTTTCAGGCGAAGTGAAAAGTGGCTAAGGAATTACAAAAAAGAGAATGAAAAGAAATCGGCCTAAACGAGTTCGGGTTTATACTTTAAGAACAATTAATGCTTTCACATCAAATAAGGTAAAAAATGGTGTTACATACTCACATATGGCTTAGAAAATAGCAGAATATTTTTTGGATAAAACACCTAAACAACGCATGAATAATAAAACAATTGACAATAATGCAATGCAAAACCTAAATGAATTGGAGATAGCATAATGAAATTGATGCAAATAGATGCATTTATATATCAAGCCACCCCGAAGCGATTCCGAAATATGTCAGTAAATAAAATACGAATTAGTACGTGGAACGCTAATGACGTTCTAGTGAGAAAGCACGAATCGGAGGTTTTCTTAGGGCTAATAATATCGATGTACGTCTGTTGTCAGAAACGCACTTGAGGAAGGACTTTGATGTACTGAGTTATAGATGCTATAGGGCAACCCGCCCTTGTAAACATTCAAGAGGAGGTAGTGATCTTTTAATTAAGGAAACCATAAAGCATGATGAGGAATCCAAAATGGAGACTGAAGAAGTTCAACTTGTAGTGGTTAAAATTAAGTATTTATTAATCATCATGATGTATTATAAAAAAGGATGTTTCTGAGCATCTGCTATGTGCGAGGGGAAATAGATTCTTACTGGGAGGTGAATATAATACGAAATAAATGGATTGCGGCTCTAGATTGACGTTAACTAGAGGTAGAAAACTAAGGGAGGACATTCGGGAGTTGGCATGTTCTTATCATTCCACTGGCAATTCGAATTATTGGCCTACTGATACCAACTACTGATACAAACCTGATATAAAAACTGTATTGACAGTTTTGTATCTAAAAGGATTTCGCTAAATTTTTTGAATTTGGAAAATTACTTTAATTTGAATTTCCATCACTCTTCTGTTATACTAACCCTTAGTGGGAAAATAGCTAACAAACGGAACAAGCCCCATTAGTCAACGAAACCAAAGATTGGGTGTGCTTCAAATTAGGTATATAATTCTTAATGCCGAGCGACTAGAGATCAACCCGATTCTGAATTAGAGGGTAAACCAGATTCTTAATTGGTTAGTAAACTGATACAGAAAGCCGCCTGAAAAAATAGAAAACTCTCTGAGTTCAAAGCTGTATCAAATAATTATCCTAGGACTATAACTGATTTAATAGTACAAAAACGAAAGGCCAGACGTAAATGGCAAGAGTCTTATCGCTCAGACGATAAAATGATTGTGAATAGATTTTCTCAAACATCTAAAAGAACACTAGAAAATTTTAAATCATTATTATACGACAATTAAATAAAGGGCTTATCAGTTTTCATCAGTTTGTTTTTAGAACATAAACCATCTGTTCTAAAACTCTCAGTTTGGTTTTAGAACATAAACGAGAAAAAAAATAGAGTTGACCTTGTCAACTCTGTGATACCCGTACAAATTTGTTATCCTATGTGCGAATAACTAATGTGCCATAACTATCTATGGGGCAGACTATGACTATAAGTTGCCGTATTACCATATTAATTTATGCAAAATTTCAGTACTATGTGTTTTTCAAACTATTATTGAAGTTGCATAGCAGGTACCAGAAGGAGCCAAGTAATTTCAACGACTTTTATGAGACACATTGGCCCTACTAATATATTCGTTTGTGTGAAATTTCAATACCATAGCTTTAATAGTTTCTGAAATATAGTCAAATGACTTTTGAAGTTGTATGGCAGATACCAGAAGGAGCCAAGTAATTTCAACAACTTTTAGGAGACACATTGGCCATACTAATATATTCGTTTGTGTGAAATTTCAATACCATAGCTTTAATAGTTTCCGAAATATAGTCAAATGACTTTTGAAGTTGTATGACAGGTACCAGAAGGAGCCAAGTAATTTCGACAACTTTTATGAGACACATTGGCCCTACTTATATATTCGTTTGTGTGAAATTTCAATACCACAACTTTTATAGTTTCTGAGATATAGCCAAATAAATTTTGAAGTTGTATGGCAGCTACCCGAACCAGTACCCCGATCACGTCAAATTTAAATAGGGTTCTGGCACTTACTACAATAAATCATTTGTGAAAATTTGGTGAACTTAGCTCAATTAGTTTTTGAGTTATCGTTCGAACGGACGGATGGACGGACAGACAAAGCTAAATCAACTCAGAATTTGACGCTGATAAAAAACATATACTTGAGTCTATATCTAACACCGTTATTTCTTAGCGTTACAAACGGTAAGGCAAATTTAGTATACCCTTCGAACATACGTTCGTACGGGTATAAACATGCAACAATTAACCAAGTACGCAGAATATCAAATATTGTAGAAAAGGTGTTAGAAGAAAGACAAATATGTTCGACAATATTTTTCTGGACGTGGCGCAGGCGTTCGATAAGGTTTCGCACGATGGTTTTTTATTTAAATTTAAGAAATTGATACCCCCGCATTTCGTTGAGTTACTTGAATCATGTTTATCTGACAGACTCTTTCGTATCAAACAGGACGAAGAGTGGAGTATTCTGCGCCCAGCAAGATTGGGCAGTATTTGGGGTTTTTTTCTATCATATGAAGAAAAGTATTTAATTGTTTTTGAATCCACATTTGTACCAATTGTGATATTATTTTAAGAATGAAGGAAATAAAGATATACGTGATTTTCCAGATTTAGCGGGTGTACTGTGGCTACATTTACCTACAGGAAAATTACAAGAAAACAGTAACAATATCAGTAAATGAACGAATACAGGGGGAATACAGCAAAATAAAAGTAAATCTGTACATGTGAATTTCACAAACAAAAATTTAGTAAATCAACCACTTTGAATTTGAATAGTGTAAAAGAATCAATCCGAAACCCAGCGAAATACCTGAGTATGGCTTTGGATGTCAACCTCAGATGAAAACAACATGTGAAGAAGAAAGAAATAGAATTAGAAAACAATTATAGAGAAAACTATAGGCTCCTAAGTCGGGAGTCTGGATTGCTAACATACTATACGGTGGTGATACATAACCAAATGATAAAGCCTATATGGAGGTATGGCTTGCAAATATGGGATTGTGCCAAGCAGACACACATTAAATAAATACAAGCTTTCTAGAACAAGGTCCATGGTAACATTATGGGTGCTCCCTGGCATACGCGTAATAGTGACATTCATACGAAACTGTGTGTCCCATAAATAAGTGAGGAAATAAGGAACTGAGCTATGAAACATAGAGCACGTTTGAAGAAACATGTAAGTGTCGAAGTTCCCCGACTTAGCCCGGAAGCCCTCTTGGGACAAAAAGACTGAAGCGAACGAGACCTCTCGAATTAGCCTAAAGTGATGTAGCAGCACATCCGCGTCTTCCTTCACAGAATGTAAACACAAAGCATTGTTAGAGCAACACTAATGGTTAGTCGTTTGATTAGTTTCAATTTGGCGGAAATTCCAGCGTAGCGCGCCTGATTAATTAGTATACAATTTTTTCAGACATAAAATTAAAAAAAAATAAGAGTATTTTTAAGTTTACTAGAACAATAAGAGCACCATTAAAATAAATATGTTTAAAAGTTTACAAAAATGTTTACATAATACACTATTTTACATAGTACTTATTTATTAAAAACTGCCGTCTCCTTGGCTATAGGCAATATTATCATGATATATCTTAATTTTGTAATAATTTCTAGTGATATATTACACACTTTTCAATACGAGAATAAACTGCTAATTGTCTATATTATAAAGATTTGACTTAACGTGAAATTCCGATATTTCTGACTTAAAAACCATTTAATTTATATTATTTCTTACCTTCTCTTGAAGTGATTCCTTGATTTAAAATTGGAGCCACTATTAAATCTTCTCCAATCGAAAATTCATCATTTAAGTTAACACAAGCCAAATCGCTAGGATCCAGCATCCACAAAGGGCGTACTAATGGTGTACCTTCATTTATTGAATCTATCGAGTATTTTTTCAGAAGCGGAATAACACTTTTTTGCCTTATAGCAGTCAGTTCTTTTGAAATATTTGTAACCGTTCTGTTATTGTACTCAGATGGTAAATGCGCAAATTGAACAACTGGTAGGAAAATAATTAGTTGAAGCCAGCGGATATATAATTCTTGTGAGGGTAGTGAGGCTTGTTCAAAAGAATTCGAATTAATAAATTTTTGATTATTATAAGGTAACAAAAAATCACCACCCACGGAGCCTGGTATTATAAAAGGAAATCCTAATATACCGTACAGAAGAATATAAATCATTAATTCTTGTAAACCTGAAATAACAAGTTTTTTTATAGTACTAATTTCAAAATGTAATAGTGTCATCAAATACTTTCCCAGGACGAGTTTAAAGGAGGAATGCTTAGAAAGGTTGGTGGCTTAGGTGTGAACGACGCCGTTGAAATTCCGATAAACCCTATTTGCTCTAAATTTTGTATAAAGGCTTCAAAGTATGAATCTGGACTAACCAGTGGTTTTCGACATTGGTAGTAATATGGAAAGTTGTAAGCAGAACCCAAATCGAGATAAAAATAGTCTACATGATAATTTTCCTTGATTTGCTTTAATTTTTGAAAAATCCACGACACTGTTACATTATTTGTAATATCCAACACAGCAGCACTTAACATGCTTTTATATTTTGTTAAAGCTGGAACGGTTCTCTTGCTACTACGTTCGAATACCAATAATTTGTTCTGCACCAAATATTTAAAATTAGAGCTTTCAGTACTAACAAAAGGTTGTATAGTGAAAACAATTTTAAATCCACGTCTATGTAATATATCAATGACGTTTTTCAAATTCTGAAACCTGCTTTGATGAACGGTAAGATCTCCAATGTTTTGTTGCCAAAATTCATTCACCAGAATGTGACCAAGTTTCATGTAACCCATTTGAATAATGTTCTCTGAATAATTGTAAATGATGGTTTCATTTAATATGCTTGCTTTTTGTTTTGTGGGAATTTTCCATATCGGTTCTTCTATTACAGAATGTAAAACTTTGATATTGGGTTCTTTCAAATTTTTCCAAAGGTTTTGTTGAGTCATAATACGATGCAAACCCTTAATATCATCTGATTTAGTGCATACTTTATAAGACAATTGAGGCATTTTAGTAGCTCTGTTAACGAAAGCGAAATCATCATTCATAGCTCGAAAACAAATTAAATTTGACGTTTTGTTTACGGATATGTGCAAAGGAACTTTATTCTCAATACTAATAGCAACTCCAAGTGAATTTATAAAGTATCTTTTAATACCATTACCAAAAATACTCAACTTTGTGTCTCCACTTATCAAAGGTTGAAATGTAAAATTGTCATTATTTAGGTGCAAAAACAAATTTTTGGTTTTAGAAGCGCCAAACCAAATCCCATTATTTCTTGATAATTCGTAACAATCTGTTGGCAAAATTTTTTCTGAAAGAGCAATCCATTTAATGTAGTAACAATTAGCAGTGTTCTCAATTTTATGGTAAAGTGCGAGTTTGGCAACATCTTCCCATTCCAAGCACAAGCCAGAGTAAATCTCAGTTATTTTGGACTCATTTTTGCACTCAAAAAATTTTTTCGGAAAAGGAATCCCAAATCCCAGTTGACCACGCAGAATTTCTTCGTTTAAATAATTGTAAAACTTAAAATACCTCTCATTTTTATTTAACAAAGCACCTTCAAAAGTAAAATATGTAAAATTTTTAGAATGATATGTTGTATAAGAATACGTTACCTACAAATAATAAATATTATTAAAATGTTAATTATAAAAAGTAATTTAAAGCGAAAATACAAAGCATGTTATAAAGCTGAATAGTAAAAATATAACTGTTTTGATTTTAAGGTCCTTAATTTTTTCTGGTCTATGTACTTTGTGAAGCGAGAAATGCTAAAATAAAAAATATTACGCTACAATAAAATTATCATGAATCACACCAACTTTGACTTTATTATGCATCTTTCCTTGTTAAGCATTTAATGTAATCCTCAAGCGTTAACATGTAAAAATAGTATTTACTGATGTACATAAATATATCTGAAACGAGACGAATTAATAAAATTGTATGGCATTTAATGATTATGATGTACGAGTATGAGATTCGTGTAAATCATATTCAAATTGGTGTACTTAAAAATATTCATATGTGCTTGCATGTAGTTTTGAAATTATTCTCGTTTCTACAAGATTTTCACCTCTTCGCAAAAGTTTAATCTTATAAAAATACAGTTTTTATTGCTTTAAAAATTTTACAAAAAGTTGTGTATGAGATATTTTGTTTTTTTTTCTTCAAAAACACACCAGTAATATATATACATATATACGTTAGATATGTTTTTTTTCTGAACAAATAATAAAATAAAACGCAAAATAAGAAGAGGTCTTAAAAATAGTTAAAAAAAAGTAACAAAAATTTTCGAGAAATTCCGAGTTTTTTAGAAAACCTTTTAAAAATAAAACCAAAATTCTGATATTGACGTGCTTTATCTCAAAAACTATGGCTCAAATTAAATTAATTGTAAATCGAAAATAAAGAATAATCAATCGCCTGTGAAATAAGGTCCCTAATGTTAATCCATCATGCATGGTTCCAAAAATATAAAAATTTATTTATGGAGGAAAAATATTGTACCCTTTTTTTTCAGCAGGCTGAAGCTCGAAAACGACTATATCGAAAGTTGATCAAAGAATCTCTGAAATTATTTGCCACCTTATGCGAAACACCCTATATAAAACAAAGTTTTATGACAAAATTGATTCACAGAATTAGAACAAACCGTTAGGGAAATGCATATAGAATACGATTTCTATGCAAAAGATCTCAGGTTCAAACCCTGTAAAATGCGAATTGAAAAATGAAAATGAATTCTTTTTAGCACTTTTCCAAAAAATTTTTGAAAAAAGTGCTTATTAGTTTCACTCTGTCCGTCCGTCCGTCCGTCCGTCCGTCCGTCCATCCGTCTGTCCGTGTGTCTGTTTACAAAACTTCTACATTCTTAAAGATAGAAAGCTGAAATTTAATATGTACATAGATCTTTACTAGAAACTTATTTTTGTAGAACAAAATTTTTACCTATCTCCCCTCCTCCAGAATTTATACCCCCCCAAAACCCTAAAAATGGCCTATTTTAAATATTTGTTGCAATGAAACCATAAGCTTTTTTGCAATTTTGCAAACGCAGAAAGGCAGTGGCTTGCTTCCCCTACCGCGGTATACTATAGTTAAACTTTAGAAAAACAAAATGGCCGTTCAAATTTAACGTTATCTACAGTCCTTTTTTTCCAAATTTTTGATGTCGTTTTTCTTCTAGACCCCAGCCTGTAGAAGCTTGAAATTTTAGGGGCTTTTAGACAAGTAGTTCATTTCTTTAGAAGAAAATTTTTTTCCATCTCCACCCCCTCTCAAGTTATGGCCTCTTGAAATTTGTGTATAAATATATGCAATGCTAGAAATAGTTTCGTTTATAAATGAAAATAATTTTAATAGTGTGGTGGATATACATAGACTGTTTTTAAAAGCAGTATTTTCACTTGTTGAAGGGAAAAGTGCTACAATACAAATCATTGGTTTGACCCAACTTTATTTATTGATAATTCTATTTTATTCACATTTAAAATGAAAATGAAAAAGCTTTACCCTTAAAATCGATATTAGCGAGATTCCACAGCTAAATTTTTTGTTAAAAATACCCTATTTGTAAAATCTTAATGTAATAAAAATAATATATTTTCTTATTAAATTATGTATTAATAAAAATATCTTGTCCAGAAATTTAATGTACACTTATGTTTTGCTTACTAACACATTTTGCAGCAAATCGCGGAAAGAATTCGAAAGTAAATTCGTACGTGCATAATTATAAAATATAAAAGAATATAAAAGAAAAAGAAATATAAAATAATGTTGATTTTATTAACCTCAAAAAATTTTTCAAAAAAGTTTTTAATTTGTATTTTAACTCATATTTGCAGAACTTAATTTACAGTATTCATATTATCAAAAATAAATACAAATATCTCCCATCAGGAGAGGGCGGAGAAGGGGAGGGCGGATGAAAAAAAGTTACAAAAGTTTTACGTACATTACCTATGTATGTAAATAATATAGAAATAACTTTTTTCTTAGGCGTATGAAAAGAAAAAGCGGGAATTTTATTTCTGTAACTTATTCCAGTACAAGGTGGCAGAAATGGTGTATCCATATTATAAAAGCGAAGCAATTTTAAAAATAAAATTTGACTATTAAAATAAAAAAAAATTATTTGTATATAATTTGAAAAAGACAAATAATTTTAACAAAAAAGTAAAAATTTGTAATTAGTAACATTGTCATTACATTTATTGTAATATGAACTATGAATTTTTTATTTCAATTTTGTTTTGAAAATTTGAAATATACATATATTTCTTCGTGAAATTTATTTCTTCGTTCTTAGACGTGAAATCAGCTCGAAACTCAAGCTGCGTTTTTAAAAGTTTAAAAACGACGTTTATCTATTAAATTTCAAATCATTATTAACATTTCAATTCAAGGAAGCGACTTGATTGAAGCCGGCTTCAGGTTAAGTAACGTTTATATAGATAATAATAAGCTTTAAGCAGCCACATAAACGGGGTAAATACATATTACTACATCATATTGTGTATCTACTTTGAATAGGTAAGTACTGTATAAAAAAATATGAAATTTAACATTTATAACTATTACTTTCATACATTTGAATGTTTTTACCTAACTTTTATGAAATGAAAAATAAAATACGAAATAAAAATTTTGTTATTATCCAAATAAAAATAACAAAATTTTTACCTAACTTAATTTAATTTTATTTCAGTTCAATGTTTTTGATACACTCGTTTGTTTACAATATTTTGTTTCTTTCTTGCCTACACACCTCTTATTACCATTTATTTCTAAAGAAAAATGGAATATTTTAAGAATTTGGAAGCAAAATCCAAACAAAAACTAACGGAATGGAACGAGTCGAACTACTTATTAATAGATATACTTTGATTTGAAGTCAGGAAATATAATTGTAGCAGACTTATTCAATTTATAAAATCAGCGAAGCAATATAGTTCGTTTTTTAAAATTTTTTTAATTTCGGTTGTTGGGTCTGAATTGAAGGAAGGAAATTAAGACCCAACAACCGAATAAGTATATTCTTGTAAGTATCGTTCAGTTTCCTAAAACTATAATCAAAAGTAAATGAAAATTTATTCTTTATTTGTTAACTAATTTTTTTTATTTTTTTTTAAAAATAATAAAAACTAAATGCATAAAACTTTAAGTTATATAAATCAGACAAAAATAATTAACAAAATCAATTTCGACTTTTTTTCTCGTTGTACAACACTGATCGGTTGCACATGAACACACAATACGACCGTCAAAATTGTACGATACAACAAAACCGATAAAATATGCTAGATAATGAAATACTATAAGTATTAACAGCTTCAAACTGAAATTTTAGCGTATATTTGCGATTTTTAAACAAGTCATTTATATAGTGTTATATATAAATGTATTGATGTCTCCGTCATGGATCATTTCACACCAACTACAATGAGTATGGCCGTACCGGCAACCTGATATAATTTTAAATTTTCCTTCCTACATTAAATTAATTATTTATGTGATATAAACATTAATGTCTCAATTTTATTTCAATATTTTCGAATATAATATTCAGTGCGATCCACACTAGATGCTTCTAGTGGGTAATATTACATCTTCACATGTATAAATGTATTTGTAAATATGTATGCATGAATGTTACTAATATTTTTTTTTTTTTTTTTTTTTTTTTACCGAGAGGAAGGGGGAAAAATCTCGACAGACACTGCCAGACGAAAAGCAGTAGTGTGGAACTTTATTCCACTAAAAAACACCCTCCTCAAAATAAACTATAAAACTAGTCGAAAACGACTAACCATTAATTTTGCTCTAACCTTTTTGATTATTTACAAACCTTTTATCTGGCACAATAGCGTACTAAGTACTCATTGTTCCAGATAAAAAACTCTAAACTAACTCGAGAGGTCTCGTACGTTTAAGTCTCCTAACAAAGTTTTGATTGTCAACCAATCGAGCCGCCTCGATATTGACATGATTGGATAAACGCATTTTATGATTGGCTGCTTGCTTTTTAATTTCGTCTGTGACACTTAGGATCGTGAGATCCCTGTGTATATCGGCATTACGGACATACCAAGGGGCGTTTACAATGTCCCGTAATACTCTATTTTGCAATCTTTGTATGAGTCTGCGCAGCGCAGCCCCATAACTGAATACCGTAAGCCCAGACAGGCTCAAATATTTGATTATATATCAAAACTTTGTTGTATATTGTCAATTTGGAACGCCTCCCCAAAAGCCATTCGAACTTCCTGTATTCCTCCTCTAGTTGAGATCTCTATTTCTTTATGTGCTCCTTCCATCTGAGCTTCGCGTCCAACGTCATTCCCAAATACTTCGCCGTGTTTGCGGACGGAATCAAGACGCCATTTATTCGAACCGAAAATAAATTGTCAATTTTCCTATTAGTGAAATTTACGTGTACTGATTTCACCTCGTTAAGTTTTATATTCTACTTTAACCTCGTTAAGTTTTATTCTACTTTAACCTCGTTAAGTTTTATATTTCACTTTCTAGTCCATTTTGAGATCTCATCACTGGCCCTTTGCAATTTTTGTGTAGATTCATTTCATTTCGTCCTATTGCGATAACTGCTGTATCGTCAGCAAATGTAGCTGTTGTCACTCCTTCCGATTCAGGAATATCACACGTGTATAGCAAGTATAGTATCGGGCCCAATATACTCGCCTGTGGTACCACCGACTTGATATCCCTAAGCGAAGAGTACTCCTCTTCCTGTTTAACTCGAAATACCCTATTAGTCAGGTAAGATTCGAGCAGGTCAATATACTGCCTTGATAGTAATCGCCTAAGTTTTTTTATTAATCCACAATGCCAAACCTTATCGAAGGCCTGGGCTACGTCCAAAAATATGTTAGAACATATTGTTTTTTCT